TATTTCTAAAAATCCATTTTAAACCAACCACCAAAATGCTGTGAATTTTAATTTATTGTAAAAGTAGCAAATAACCCAAGCAAGAAAAATTGAAAATTTGGCTTGGCAATAATTTTAAAAAATTAGGAAAATAATAATGGTGGGGAGAGTTTTTCGAGGTGATACCAAACTAAACTACTTAATCGAGAGCCAAAATAATTAAATAAATAAATAAAATAATAATAAATGCAGAAGAGAACAAAATGAAGGCCCTCGTGCGCTTCTGGACCTTCCACTGTATATCTCACATTAAATGAAGTTTTCTCTACAGTTAAAGCCTCTGCAATTCTGCATTGTGTGCGTGTGAGAAAACATTCCTCTCTCTACCATCATACAAAAATGAATGACATTGCAAGTTACAACTCACCCTTTCTCTCTCTAAAATTATTATTATTTGTATTTATTTATACCCTTTTTGCAGCCTATTGTGTATTCATAATTCATATGCAAATAATGCAATATATGCAATTCTTTCTGTAGCCAATAAGCCAAGGCATATTCATATCATAATACAACATTATAACTTCATGATGCAGATAGGAATTAGTTTAAGGTTGAATATTATTCTTATTATTATCATTATCATTAGTATTTAACATTATTATTTAATATTTAGTAGCTTGGTGAAGAAGATAGGTTTAAGGCTTTAAGAGTCTTATTTAAAGACTCATTCTTCTTTTTTATTAGAGAATTGATTTTGCATAAAAATAAGATTGGTTTGATTTTTATCGTGTTTGAGATTGAGATCTCATTCATATAATTCTCACTCGTATGCTTCCCTACATCACTTCATCAATTTCATTTTCATCAGTCCCACTATTTTTTTTCTAATTATAAAAAATGGAAAAATTATATATATTTATATTATTTTTCTCCCTAATTTGTGTACTTGTCGGCAATATCTTTTGCGCTGTTGCCTTGAGACAACTAATTATGAGTGACGTGGTAATAATAATTATCAAAACATTTGATGATAAAGTTGAGAAGCTACTGCTTTGTTTGATTAGGTCGGGCAGATTAAAGTGTGTCTTAATTTGGCTTTCATATGATAATGATTATGAGTACCTAACAATCAAGTGAGAATTTAATTGAATAAATCAAAATCACATCACAAATGGGTTTGGTTTATAAACTTTTTTTCATCAACGATGGACAAATGAACCAATGATTACGTTTATATTGAATAGGAAGCATATTTATGACCAATTATTATTATTATTTATTATTAATATCAGCAATATATGCAATTAAGTTGTTTTTATCACTTTACCATGGACAATCATTCATTATTCATTAGGAACATCGAAATTATGTTGTAACTACATCTCATAACTGGCTTAATGGCCACTTGGGCTATGAGCTGAACGAGATCATACTCTTTATACTTAAACTCGTCGAGTTGAATTGAGCTCGACTTGATAATTTAATGAATTCGATTCCAACTCTTTTATTCCTATTATCAAACAAAATTCAAATCTTAATGAGCCGATCTAAACTAAATATTTAGAAAATTACGTAAAATCTCATGTTGACAAGTCAAGCCTAATTTGAGCCTTAGTAAGTTGAGCTGAACTCAAGAATGATTAATTTCATTTAATAGTTTTAATATCCACATATCCACACACATATACACTCATTTGGGTGTTTGTTACTTGTATATGAAATGAGCCAAGCAAAATTAAACTCAAGCTTAATGAGTCGAGGCGAACTTACAAATGACTATTTTGAAATAACAGCTCTAATATTCAAATATTCACACATGCATACACACTCATTTGGGTGTCTATGAGATTTGTATATAAAAAGAGCAAAATCAAGCCAAAATCGAGTCTTAACGAATCGAGTGAATTCACGAACGACTCATTTTATTTAACAGCTTTAATTTCTACATATTCACACGCGCACACACACAAACTCCTTTGGGTATGTGTGGTATTTATATATCAAATAAGCCGAGCCAAGTCAAGTTAGAGCATTAACAAATTATATCGAGTTTACGAAGTACTCGTTTCATTTAATATTAATATCCACACACATTCATACACACTCCATTGGGGGTGTGTGGTATTTGTAAACACAATAAATTGAGTGACATGAATAGACCTTGAGTTTCATTTACGCAACACAATTAAGATTCGAAAATCCACAATTAATTACTATTGAGGATGATACAATTGAATAAACCAAAATTTTCTTTGAAATGCAAAAGTTGCACTGTGTCAGTTGCGTCAAATCCCTTTCCAAGGATCTCCCAAAGGATCCACACTTCTCTTCAAGTCATTTTCCGTCTCACCTTTTGTGCCACATTATGACAAAAAAACCCATCGCCTCAAAGTCAATACACAGAATTGAGAGGAGAAGATAATTTTCAAAAGAAAAATTAAGGGAAAATCCACCTCTAATGAAATAATTAATTAATTAATTAATTTTCAAAATGACCCATCTTACCTACTGATGGGACTAGTCAAGCATGTACGCCCTTTGTGTACGGCACCACCATTTTGCATGCTTTGTATTTTTGCTCTAACATCAAATCCATAAAATCATCCTCATACACTCGTACCGAATGGATTAACACCAAGGCTTGTACCAAATTAATACGTATGAATATTATTAATATGATTGCTACAATAATAATATTAATAAAAGAAATCTATCTATAAGGGAAGATGAATAGAATCGAGTCGAAACTGTTGGAAAATTTGGCTCCATTTTTGTTCAATTGTTTTTATGTGTTGAGTGCAATTTACTTAGGGCTTGTTTGGAAACACTTATTTAGAAGTCCATTTTAAGATGGACTTTTTGAAAAGTGACTTCTCAGGAAGTATCCAATATAAACTTCTTTGAAATAGACTTTTTGTGCGAGTTACTTTTTTAAAATTTTTGTTAATTACACCAAACATTTTTTTAAATAGGAAATGGACTTTTATAGTCAAAAATCCATTACAAAAGTGCTTCCAAATACACACTTAGTAATTTTTTAATTAAGTGCGTTTGCACGAACCGAATCTAGTTGTATTAACCAAAAATCAAACCAAATGTATGATTCTTTGTGTAGAAAATTTTAAATTTGGTTTTGACTTGGTCTTTCCATTTTCATTTTGTTTTTTCAAAAAAAAAAAAAAAAAAAATTGTGGTGCAATTCGGTTTGAAAAATTGATAATTTTAGTTTTTCAATGTTTCCATTCAGTGGTGTTTTGCACAAGAATACATGGAGCTTACTTAATCCAGTCAAAGCAGTCAAAGCAAGCACTGGTAAGCATAAACAAAATCCTGACAATTAACAGTACCAATAATCAAGGAATTTCAGTAGTGTACAAATTAGTGAGGAAAATAATGCCTGAGTGCAGCAGGATTTCATCAGCCTCTCCACATGGGGTAGAACTGGAACAAGAATGTCATTTAGTACACACACATGTGTGAATGAGGAGCTCAAATCTTGTGTCATATTTTTTCAAATTAACATTTTAATTTGATTAGTACAATAATTAATAAGTTTTTTTTATTTTCTTTAAAATCTAGTTATAAATCATGCTTATTGGATATCCATTAACTAAACCTGGAAAAAGGGCTCTTTTCTGTGTATTGTTTATAGCTTTCAGTCCTAACTGTGCACAAGGCTCCAAAAAGTGGCAAATTTTTACATGTGATGGGGATTAGAAAATGAGCCATTGCATAGCAAAAACAGATAAAAAAAAAAAAAGTTTTGGTGGAAAAAAAGAAGTCCAAAAAGTCAAATTTCACGGGACAAGTTACTAGGAATTGCTCACATCCTACATGTTCATGTTTCAGGCTAGCTAATAATAGGATACAGGCTGACTTCTATGTTTTCACTTTAAGAGAAGGGTATAACTTTGAAAGATTCTAACTTTAGACCCTGGATTTTTCATCGTTGAATCAACACAAACACACATGCATGCTCGTATGTTTTCACTAAAATAGGTTAGTATAAATCGGAAAATTCGGCCCTACACTCTGATAACTGCAATGCAGTCATTGAAATTTTCATCGTTGGATCAATAAAAACACACACACTCATATAAATGCAGTCACCGAGATTTTCATCGTTTAATCAACACAAACACAAACTCATACAAGTGTATGTTAATCCAACGTGAAAAAATCTACCTATAAATTGATGATAAATATTGAAAAAAAAATAAAAAAAAAACTCCAATTTTTTTAAGCAAGAGCATGTCCTCAAGTGACTTTTGTAATTTCATGTACAGATCTATTTGAAAGACATGTGAGCCACTTAGTTTCAATTCTTTGCTTCTAATGGGGTGGCGTCCATGTGCTCCAATACTGCCTAAAAATTTAACATAGTCAAAGGGAAAATTCCATCTCCATGCAAAGACTCCAATGCTTTAAAGCCCAAATTATTAAGGATAAAAAGGGGGATAAACTATTGACAATGAGACTTAGTAATCGGATTGAAAATCTATCTCCACCTATTAAATGTAATTCATCTAACGAGGAAAAATAGAAAAACAGAACAAAACACACACACACACACACACAAACCCAAAGAGGTGTTTGTTTGAGAGGATTCGACCCTATTGCCCACACCATGATCAGAACTATGAAATTATACGTGCACACAAACATATCTGTGTCGATGTGTGTTGATCTAACAGCTCAGATACCGAATTTTAGCAAAATATAACTATAATCTATTTATTGTTCCTTTAAATAATAGGCATACTTAATACTTAATACCACTTGCATGCTTTTGGCGTACTCTCTCTCTCTCTTTTTCTCTCTCTATATTGATTACATCAGGTCTATATAAACCACCCGCACGAACTCATGACACAGATAACACAAACCACAGTAAACAAATCCCATTCATTTCTCTCTCTATCGCTTTCTCTCTTTCTCTATACTCTACTCTTTTCTCTCCCTAGCTCCTCCTTATTCCCAACAAGTAGCTGGAGCTTTGAGGAGAGAGAATCAAATCAATGGCTGGGTTGGCTGTCATCCTAGGGGCATTCTGGGGAGTTTGCCTCCTCAGCATTGCACTTCTCAAGTGGAATGAGCTCCGGTACCGGAAGAAAGGCCTCCCGCCCGGCACCATGGGCTGGCCCGTCTTTGGCGAGACCACCGAGTTTCTCAAACAAGGCCCAAGCTTCATGATTAACCAGAGATCAAGGNATGCTCGATATCCTCGGAAAATGCAATATTGCAGCCGTGCACGGCCCAGCCCACAAGCACATGAGAGGGGCCTTGTTAGCACTCATTAGCCCAACTATGATTCGAGAGCAGCTCCTCCCGAAGATCGACGATTTCATGAGATCCCATCTCCGGAATTGGGACGACAAGATCGTCGACATTCAAGAGAAGACTAAAGAGGTTCGACTTTGAAAAATAAAAAATAAAAAATAGAAAAATCAAGAACTCAATCTAGTTAAAAAATGACAACTCATTTAACATGATTTTTTTTTTTTTTGTTCCAGATGGCGTTTTTATCGTCTCTTAGGCAGATTGCGAGCAAGGAAGCAGGATCGATATCCCGGGACTTCATGCCCGAATTCTTCAAACTCGTGCTCGGGACACTTTCGCTGCCGATCAACCTTCCCAATACAAACTACCGTCGGGGGTTTCAGGTAAAAACAACTTTACCGACTGAGGTTAAAAGGCTAATATGAAAGTAACTAAACAGTTACAGCAAGAAATGATGCAACGGGTTTTTGAAATTCTGTCACAGGCGAGACAGAACATCACGAGCCTGTTGAGAAAGCTGGTGGAGAACAGAAGGGCCTCCTCGGGAGGAAATCAACAAGACATGCTCGGTTTTCTGGTCAGTCCGGAGAATAGATATAAGCTGAATGACGAGGAGATGATTGATCTAATAATCACGATTCTGTATTCGGGATACGAAACCGTGTCGACTACTTCGATGATGGCTGTTAAGTATCTACACGACCATCCAGAAGTGCTTGAGGAGCTAAGGGTAATGACTAAAGAGTGGAGTTTATTTATTTATTTATTTTTTAAGTTAGGAAATGTTGTGATTATAAATCCTCTGTATTGCTAATATTTCTTTCTTTTTTTTTTAATCAGAAAGAGCATATGGCTATAAGAGAAAGAAAAGGGCCCGAGGATCCTATTGATTATAACGACTACAAATCGATGCGGTTTACACGTGCTGTAAGTAGTTAACTTACAGCTAGCTTAGTTTTTAAGATATTTACCATAGGTAAAAGAAAAAAATTTAGCTAAAAGGCAGCTCTCCTGTTCTTATGGCAGGTCATATACGAGACGTCGAGACTAGCCACGATCGTTAATGGGGTTCTGAGGAAAACAACGAGAGATATGGAAATAAATGGTGTGTGCAATGCATCTCTTATTTGATAACTAAATTCCCCTTAATCCCCTTAATCTTACTTAGAATTATTTGGAAATTTTTAAGATTTTCCACTTGACGAATAAAGGAATTACATAAAAAGAAAAGGCAGCAGTTGCAAAAAAATACAAGCAATCATAGACTAAGAAAGATATCATCTTTCTGTAATGGACCCTACCCTATCATAATCCACATGGAAAACCAACCGTTCCAACCCAAGACATTCATTCCATTCATGTCCCATATTTTTTGTCTGAATGAATTGTTTTGTCTAAGCCTTTGGATAAGAGAAAAGACCGAGCTGCTCGTCATTTCAATCCAAAACTTAGGATTATTCCTTTGTCAAGTCTTGAGTTCTTCCAATAAAATAACAATATAAATGCAGTCTAACAGTCCTTAGTCATCCTTAAACACTATTTTTTCTTTTTCTTTTTTAACTTATTTAATTTCGCTTTTCAGGATATCTCGTTCCCAAAGGATGGAGGATATACGTGTACACAAGGGAAGTTAATTATGATCCTTGCCTTTATCCAGATCCATTGACATTCAACCCGTGGAGATGGCTGGTACTTGATCTGATCAGCTAACTAATAAAACTATTCATTAAATCCCTTAACGAATGAAAAAATCGGCTAACTAAGTTCGTTACTACGAATTGCAGGAAAAAGGCCCTGAAAACCAGCAGCATTTCTTGATTTTTGGGGGCGGCACTAGACAATGTCCTGGGAAGGAACTCGGTCTAGCCGAGATATCGACATTTCTTCACTACCTAGTGACTAAGTACAAATGGGAAGAAATTGGGGGAGATGAGCTAATGAAATTTCCGAGAGTCGAAGCGCCAAACGGGCTTCGGATTAAGGTTTCGAGCCGCTAGCGTTAACTGTTGCCCGAAAAGCAATGTGCAGATTAACAAATAAAATAAAACATATATTGAAAGGCACAAAAACAAGAAAAAAAAAAAAAAGTAACAAAGTAGGACAGGTAGCTTTTTTTGGATGTACAGAAGAAGTTTCAGCTAACACATGCTATTCGATAATTGAAAACCCATTTTGCCAGGGTGCAATAATTTTGCTTTTTCATACACAAAGCCTACCCATCATTGAGCTAAAGCGGAAAAAGGAAGAACAAATTGCAAACAATTATTTTAATTATTTCGCCATGATTGAAACTTACCGATCGAAGATGATGAACATGTGCTCGAATAGATAATTGAATAGCAAATACATTCCCACAAAATTAAGCAATGAGCAAAAGAAAAAAAAGGAAAAAAAAAAAAAACGAATGCGTGTTAACTTTTACCGATAGCCACCGCCGGATCACCTTTTGAGCTGAGGAACGTCGCTTGCTTGGCCGGTGGAAGGCTGTTTCTGCTCGCACAATCACCGTTGAGTTCCTCGGCCCCTTCGATCGTTCTCGTACTAATCGGTGCCATTGAAAAAATCTCTGCAATTTTTTCGCGGCTCAAATTTGAAGCAGGATTTAAAAGGTTATATTGAGAGGAATCACTAATCAGTACCAAATAAGATAACTTTAGGCGGGCTTGAACCCAACCCGATCTGAATCGCGACGGGCCAAGCCTCCGGTAATAATTAACAGCTCAGTTGTTCGAACGTGGGTTGGATCATAGATATGGGTTAAAATGAAAATTAAATTGGGCCTGAAGTGAGCTCACTTTCAAAACATATTTCAAAGAATCGCAAGAGAAAGAAATAATGACACTATGNTTCTCAAACTCAAAAAATATTGTTAGAATACTACCTCTCATTTCAATCATTGCTACTAGATCTTTACTTCTCCCTACATATTTAACAACTTTTTAAAATTAAACCCTACAGCCATTTTGTAGGAAAAAATATGTAACAAAATTGGTTATAAATGGAAAAAGTAAGTATTATGCAAATATACTGCAAATAAAAACAAATAATTTTTCTGTAAAAAAAAATCATTAATATATCTTCTTACACTATTCTAAATTTCTAATATATAAATATAAGAATAATATATAATTTTCCATAACAATTGAAAGTCAAAAAATGTTTTAAGACTATCATGTTATTTGATTTTATTACCAATTTTGTATAGAATATTCTAATTCATGTAGAAATATTTTCAAGTTATTTATATATATATATATCTATAGGATGTGGTTCAAATGAAAACTAAGTCTTATTGTGAGAACCGTGCGAACCGCTACTTTTAATTGTGCAAAGTACTATGATTGGTTGTGTTTGGTGCTATTTTTAACCAGGATGAATTTTATTAAAAATAGCAACACAATTTATATTAGCATTTGTGAAAATGATAGCATCATCTAATATTAAAAATAGCATCATATACAATTAAAAATAGCATCGAATATGGTTCTCACGGTTCTCACACCAAACTAGTTTTTATTTGAACCAGTCCCTATATCTATATAATGAACCAATCCTTATTGCTATAATTGACATGATTTTGAGCGGTAAATTTTTTCGTCTGTAGATGAAATTTAATTAATATTTATTTATTAGCAAATCTTATGCATAAAAAAATAATTAACTTTTATACACCAAATGTCTATTACTCATTAACTACAAATTGAATTAGTTGAAATTTTAACCGTAGAGATATTAGATTTATCTTCAATAAGATCTTATATTAATTTAATAGTAATTTATTGACACAATTCAAAAATTATTATGGAAATTGATTTGATTAAATATATTATTATCTATAGTTGTAGGTATTAATCTAATTAATTATATTCACTATTCAAAAGTATTTAAAAATATTTAATAAAATAATCAGAATAACTATGTTTAAATCATAATAACTTAATAAATAATTTAAAATATTAATAAAAGTTTCTAAAATATAGTCAATTTAATTATAAAAAGGTACATCCTATTGAATACATCATATGCAGTGATAATACTATAGAAAATTTAAATAATATACTAATAAAAATAAAATTTAATGGTCGGGTGCAATTCAGAATTCTAAATTTCACCTTAGAAGTATCTATGTATATTAAAAATCTATTCAATTTTTAAAAATATGTATTTTTTTCTTATATACTATTTTATAAATGAAAATAAGTTGATAAAAAAGCAATATATAATAGTTTAAATTATAGCAATTGGTAATTATGGAAATATATAATATATCTAAATATTCAAATAGACACTATGTAACTCATTTTATAGGGTGAAAAAATGAACTCAAGAAAGAAATATAAATAAAAAATAAAAACATAAAAATAAAATATTTAACCATAAAAAAATTGTATGTTGCATAAGGATTAAAGTTACTAAAAATTAAAATTTATTTGTCATAGTTTTTACAAGTATATGCAGTTAATAATTATAGCGGAAGATGAATATTATGGGTTAAACGTTGGTCAATTACCAAGCAATGTGCAAATTATGAATTGTTAAAAAAAAAACTATATTCTTAAAATGGACCAATCCTTATTGCTATAATCGGCATGATTTTGGGCGGGAAACTTTTTCGTCTATAGATGGCATTTAATTAATATTTATTTATTAGCAAATCTTATACATGAAAAACATAATTAATGTTTATACCCCCAATGACTATTACTCATTAACTACAAATTGGCTTATATTGAAATTTTGACCATATATTAGATATATTTTCAATAGGATCTTATATTAATTTAATAGTAATTTATTGACACAATTCAAAAAAATTATTATAGAAATTGATTTGATTAAATATATTATCATCTATTGTTGTAGGTATTAATCTAATTAATTATATTCACTATTCATAATTACTTAAAATATTTAATAAAATAATTGAATGACTATGTTTAAATTATAATAACTTAATAAATAATTTGAAATACTAATAAATGTTTCTAAAATATAGTCTATTTAACTATAAAAAGGTACGTCCCATCGAATATATCATATAAAGTGATAAAACTATTGAAAATTTAAATAATATACTAATAAAAATAAAATTGATGGTCGGGTGCAATTCAAAATTATGAATTTCACCTTAGAAGTATCTATGTACATTAAAAAACTATTCAACTTTTAAATATATATATATATATATTCTCTTTTTCTTATATACTATTTTATAAATGAAAAATAAGTTAATAAGAAAGCAATGTATAATAATTTAAATTATAGCACTTGGTAATTATGGAAATATATAATTGTTCATACCTAATTTTGACCTCGCCTATTAAAATATTACACATGGATATACATATTAAATAAATAACAAGTTTCTTTTATCAGATTTGTTAATATTAAATAAGTCCCCATAAAATAAGGATTATCCGTATTTGAGCCAAACAGAATTCAACGTCATTAGGCCGACCCGAATATAATAAAGAAGCCACACCGACCGACACGATAATTGCCAACAAGACAAATATCAATCGAAGCCATTATCCATCTATTATAATTGTTGGGCCCTGCGCGGTCACATTTTATTTACATGTGTATTGTTATATAAAAGTCCATCAGATGTAAAAGCCCGGAAGATATATGTATGAACGAACTTAAAGGGCTTTTTACTTTATCTGAAGAAAAGAGAGAGGTGGTGGGAGGCCCTATATATATATATATATATATATATATATATATATACGGTGCTTTAGCTGCTATCGTGCATCTGTATAATCGAACATTTGCCCATCCAAATTAAAACTGATCTAAAATATACTGTTTAATCGGTCGATTAACCAAATTACCATAAGTATTATAAATATTTTTTATTATAAAATCTTATTTAATGTTTGAATTATTTTATTTGTATTTTTGCATTAGTTTTTAATATATATACATAATAGATGAAATACCAAAATAAATAATGTGCATTTTCATAGTCGATAACGTGCATCTAGTCTAGTATTATTGTGCAATCGATTGAGTGAGTATTTTTTAATGTGTGTTTCAATTTTTTAGAATATTTTAATAATGTATTATTATTACTATTATTATTATTATTATTATAAAATAAAATTTCAGTATTTTATTATTTTAATATTTTTTTTTGTAAACGATATAATATAAGTATAAAAAAACAAAAATAGCACACGGCACCCCATTAACAACCGGGTCAAACACCCTCACCACCAACACCCCTATGCAAAACAACCCTCATTTTCCCTCCCTTTTTATAACCACACTCTCTCGACATCGTGGTACCCACAATCCGTAACCTCGACTTCCTTGAGATGTGGAAGCCCTTCTTACAACCCTACCACCTCATCATCGTCCAAGACGGCGACCATCAACGTCCCTGACGGCTTCGACTACGAACTCTACAAGCGTAACGACATCAACAAAATCCTCGGCCCCAAAGCCTCTTGCATGTCCTTCAAGGATTCCGCTTGCCGGTGCTTCGGCTAAATGGTCTACAAGAAGAAGTACATCTTCACCATACACGATGATTGCTTCATAAGTCAGTTTGTTTGTTTCGTTTGTATGGTTGTTATTTGTTTTTTCGAATTTTATGAATCAAAAAAAGAAAAAAATTTGGTTGCCAAGGACTCGTACGTGAAACATCAATGCCCTCGAACAACACATCAAGAACCTGCTATGCCCGTCGACCCTGCTTTTCTTCAACACGCTATACGACCCTTTTCGGGAGGGTGCCGATTTCATGTGCAGCTACCCTTTCAGCCTCCGGGAGGGCGTGCCTACGACCTCATAGGGCCAGCTATGTATTTCGGGCTTATGGGCGACGGGCGACCGATCGGGCGTTACGATGATATGTAGGCTGGCTGGTGCATCAAGGTACACAAAAAAAAAAAAAAAGGAATTGTACAAATCAACACTTGTTGGGATTTGATATCTTTCTTACATCATTCTCTAACATTATAATAATTTCGACGAAAATATGAAGGTGAGACGCGATCATCTAAGGATCGGTGTGAACACGGGACTGCCGTACATCTGGCATAGTAAGGCAAGCAACCGGTTTGTGAACATGAGCAAAGAGTACAACGGCATATTCTGGCAGGAGGAGATAATCCCCTTCTTCCAGGCTGTCGTTCTCTCCAACAGGAGCAAACTTTTGGTTTTTTTTACCTAAGTATATATGTGTAATATATTAGGTTAAGTATATTTAATTATTATTATCTCCATTAACCAATACTAAAGATATATTGATTAAGATTATGTGGACTAGAACATGTCAAGGCCCATTAGAGAAATATATAGAAGGTAAGTCATAAAAAGCCCATTTAACTTTCACCTTTTATTGTATTATATTATTTATTTATTAATAAAACTAATAAAACTCCTCTAATTAACATAGAGGAATACACTCGGTTCAAGAGTGTAGAGATAGAGATAGAAACGCACAAAACAGCGACACCGAGACGTACAACACGGCGGAGGCAAGCTTGCAAAGGAAAAAAAAATAGAACAATTTTGCAGCAACAACAAGGATCGTCGGTCCAATTCTTTGATTCTTTCGAATAATTTGTTCATTCTATTATATTTATGAGTACTTTAATTTATGCTCATGTTCATAATTTTATTAATTTATCCTTGTTAGGGATTTAGGGTTTAAATTATATGTGTATTTATTTATCATTCTTAGGTTTAGCGACTATCACTAATTAAACTATTAGCACAGAGCGTGCATTTTTTGTTGTGACTATCGTTAAATCTAAACTTCAAAGTAAAATGGAAGATGACTTTATTGTAATTCTTTGACTATCCTCGTTGAAAGAAAAATTGCAAGATCTATTATTGTCGAGTCCATCATCGATGGGTTTCATAACTTGAGAGAACGTCGAACACAATTCTACTAGTTACAAATTTTGAACGGTATGTATTTTCTTGTACTTTTTTTTTTTAATTCTAGAAATACAACTTTGTCTTTTTAATGAAGCATGTCAGTGAAAATTACTAAGTCCCCCTCAATTAAATTTTCTGGATCCGCCCCTGTCTCCAAAGACTCGACCACTGTTCAAAAGTGCTATGTCGAGCTAGCTAAGTAGGTTCGGGAAAATCGACCCCAGTATTTTGTGAAGCTCACGGATGGTATGGAGACGTGGATCCAGGCGTGGGACTAGCTCAACCCGGGTATTAACAAGAGCTAGACAGGTCGGTTTTGCGGTTTTTTTGAGTCGGGAAAAATTCAGGGGCCACGAGTTGTAGATTGATTACCTTTGTTTTTATGCTTTTGGTGTTTGATCTGAAGGGACAACATACAGGAATAAACTGAAAAGGGAAATGAAGTTTATTTGGTTGAATTATGTGGTGGTGTCAGGTGCGTGATATGCTTGGAATAAGGCTCGCAGAATAATTGCTGAANAAAAAAAAAAAAAAAAAAAGTGGGAAAAAAACGCCGTTGCCGGGGATCGAACCCGGGTCGCCTGCGTGACAGGCAGGAATACTCACCACTATACTACAACGACTTTTTTGATTGTTCTTAGCCTAGTTTTTTACACATATGGTAATAGGCTGCTTGGCATTTTGGCATTTACCCTATAAATATCAAGATGGGCTTTTGTGTATATTAATGAGGGTTTGTAAAGACTAAAAAAAAAAGCAAAATTTGATATTCTGATTGTCTTAACTTTGCAAATAAATTGAGATTGTATTCTGATAATTGATATTCTCATATACGACCAACTTCCCCTGATGGTAGTAGATATGCTTTTGTAATAATAAAATAAGGCAATTCACTCCATTGAAACCTAAAATCCACCAAAACTTGTAACAGCAAGAGTATCAGAGTCCAGGACCATATTGTGATAGCAGTACAGCACCTAGGAAACTAAATTCAAATTTATTTTTATTTTTAAAAAAAAAGACACACATACACACACAAATCACAATAATAAGCATAGGCCAAAACAATTGTCCTTTTTAAACCATGTACAATGGTTGTCTTAATAAGCAATTGCTTAAAATATTTTAGTATTATTTTGGTGGGACCCTGTGCCATTAAGCAATTCAATCCCACAATAATGGTGAATTGCTTATTAAGCAACTCATGCGGGTCCCATATATACCCCATTTTCTCATCCTCTCTCTCATGTCTTGCGCCATTTTCTGATTCATTGGCCCACAAATTCTGATTGCCTGTGGATTGTTTATTCAAGCAATTGCTTAACCTAAGCAATTGCTTGTCTTCTCTTCACAATGGGAAATTGCTTAAATAGCAATTGCTTATTTTTAAGCAATCAGTTAAGCAACCCCATTGTAGATGGTCTTATAGTATCTCCTTATAAGCAAATGAAAGATAAAAAGATAAAATACAAACAAGAAATAATGTATTTGTCGGGGTTAAAAAATAAAAAATAAAAAAGAAAATAGATAAACTACAAAAGCCCCTCAATTTCCAGTAGCCCAATGTCCTAAAACCTTTTCCTAGTGTGCAGCATCTCACATCTTTTTTCATGTTAAACCACTTCTCTCTGCAAGACACAAACGCAGCAAACTCAGTAATCGACCGTCAAAATAAAAAACGGGTCCCACACAGTTTGGCCAATGCCGGAGAAGAGTAATTATCATAGATTAGGAGATGATTCTTCTTCGTTCGTCTTCTTACGTTTGGCCGGTTGCTCTTCTTCACCTTCTTCGTGTTTGTGAATTCCGTTAATGGCCTCAACGCCCAAAAGGGAAACGTGCTTGCTCGTGATCTGGCGGCCCGCCCTTACTTTGGGCCCCCAATATCTCTCGGGATTGGGAAGGAATCTCGCAACCTTTTTCGCCTGGGCCTTGCTAAGCGAAGCCACGGCCCGCGTAAAATTTGCCTATTGGAAAACAATATTAGGAAAAAAAAAAAAAGAAAACGAGCCTTTGAGGCTTTGATAATCAAAGAAAGAATGAAAAAATATATGATTTAGGTTCAATGCAACAAAGAAATAACTGGGATTTGTAAAAAAATATTACCACGTAGATATTTGTTCGAAAATGTAAAATCTCAAGAGCCTACTAGTAATGTAAAACATATACAAAAAATTATAGCCCATTCGTTTCCTTATTATTGTCCCAAAATACATAGAATTTTTGGTTTAAAGCGTCCAAAATTATCCTGATTTATTTTAGGATATGCCTAACAAAATAAGGATAATCAGCCATTTTACAGAAAATACTTTTGTCTGCTGGAAATCATCCAAGATGACAATTGTTTTTTCTGTATTTCTTTTAACTTACAGTTCTATTTCACTCTCATTAATAGTTTCACCCAATTTTTAACAACACAGTCACATAATACAAGACGTATGCTCCGTACCAGCAAAATTGGTTCCTTGGCTAAAATCACGCTTCCAGCCTGATCTTCTGGTTGAGGTTTCACCGGATGACTTTTGACCTGAGCATGAAAAGCTCATCACATATAACTACACAATTCATTAATTTAAATAAATAAATAACTACAGGTTAGTTTTACGTTGGAAAGAGTCACAAAGTGAAATTTCTAAAATATTCATAATTTTCTTATGTATAGTGTATAGCACCAACAAATATAAAAAGGTTCATGCGATTTCACAACAACGATGCCATTTCTTGATTTATGTACTTCTAAGAGATACGAAAGCATATATTATTTGAAAAAAAAATAGCTATCTTCATTACCCAGCAACGCATGATATCCCATATGACATTCATAGGCGCATCTGTTTTCAAACCCAGCGGGTTTACATGGCTACCCGATATACGATACCCTGCATTAATCACAGCCGAACGGAATATAACTGCTGATGGGGAAGTGCATTTCAACGTTGCACACAGATTGTGCAAGCTCAAAAACAGTGGTACATCAGGTAACTCCTGCAAGTCAAAAAAAAAATTACTCACCTTGAAAGTTAAAAAAAAAATAAGGAGAAAAAAAAAGCAAGTAACTAAATGAGGTATACCTCAGAAATTGTGGTTAGTACAGCAGAAATCCGATCGAAGGCCGGATATCGGCTCTTCATAGATTTTACATCTGTTAGAATGGAATTCACCCATTCTTGATCGTGGATTGGTGCAGACCATATGGGCCCACCCATGTTGTATTTCTTGCCGCAGTCAGTGCATTCTTGGGTAACAACTGGACCGAACCCAGGAAGATATCTCGCACTCGTGCTATTGTTCTGGTTAATAATTAATCATCTATGTAAGAAAACAATACTGATGTGAAAGTTAACTATTTAAGAAAAAGCACAATAGCAAACATTTCGAGAATTAACATGCAGGAAATATATAAAAATAAATAAATAATAAAGCTGATTGTTCATCATACTGAAATGGTCTTTTTATCCTTACCTTAGAAACGGTCCTCCCAATAGGCTGAAGATGAAAAGAATCACAGCCAGTGCATTGATAAACGTATGATAATTTCAAGGGAGTGTTCTTCATTGCACCAGCAGAACTGCAGGATAATTACTCATTAAATCAGGCATATGAATCAAACAAAAAAAAAGATGAATGAAGGCCAACCTTATCACTCTAATTATACTAATACTAGTACATAGAAAAAATAAATTAAGAAACACTCACGTGTAGATACGCACAAAAACTCGTACATAGAAATCTATTTGAACAGATAGCACAGGAACAATGTACCGCTTATACCGATTTGCATGGCTCTGCATTTTTTACATGAATAAATAACATCAGGAGGGGATAATGCGGCAAGGTAACAAAGAAGTGGAAAGGGTAAATTAAGAAAATATTCAGTTATAAAGCTAAAGTTTTACAAAACCAACTTACTTCAATACATGCAAGAAGGATCCTCAATGCCATCTCATGGCAATATTTTCCTCTCAAAGGGTAAGACCCGTATCTAGTTTCAAAAACAAAGCATCACGTCAAACCACCGTTCTCTTAATTGAAATGAATGTATACAAGCTGATTTATTAAAACAGGGGAAAAAAAATCTTACTTGGAATAGCAGACCTCACCATTGCCCCCACAGAGCACGGCCATATCAGTTGCTGTACACATCAAGATGCCTCCATCTACAACTGACTGAACAGCAGAGTCCAGGAAAACAGATGGTGAACCGTAAGGATCGAGATCAACCTGTATTTACAATTCATGGGATAAAATCGTAAGTACAGACAGAGAAAAAATATTTTGGGTAATCACGTTAATATTGAAGAGCCACAATTTTGATATACAGAAATGAGAGAAATTCTACAATTTTTACTCGTGTCGTGATTGTGAATTGTGAGAAATCGGTATTTGTAGGCAGTTTGTAGCATAGTCTGCCATATGACCGCATATTCTTTTTGGTGCCCAATAAGACTGCTAAAAACAAAAATATGAAATAATAATGTCATGCATACCACATCAAATTCTTTCGGGTGGGTAAGCATGTACACTCTAGCATCAGCAAGTTGCGACTCAACCTTCGAGCATGCCACCGAGCCATTAAATTTAATGTTCCTCCTGCAAGCTTCGACAGACGCTGCAAACGGGCATAAAGAATATCGAACCATATGGTACTATTAACTATAAAACAACCCTCCAGGTAAAGGTAATGATTGAAACAAGACAACTTCATAAGGAAAATCATGAAACTACATTTATCATTGTCCACAGCCACCACTTGGCCAATTCCATCTACTTCACGAGCATATCTTAAGGATCTAAGTCCAGAAGCAGACAATGCCTGTAAAAACCACAACCCAATCATAAGCCTCTATTCCATGAAAAAATTAAACGAGCAATAAATTACAAACATAACATGAAACAATTGAAGATCTTAACCTCCAAAACTCGGGGAGGTTTTAGTTTTAGTTCTCTTGAGCCTTTTCCATATTGGTTTGAAGGTTTATCTACAGAAGTGCAGGTGGGTTTGTCTTGCGGCACCTCTTGAGAAACTTCACATTCCCCATTCGATTTGTCCTTGCAAATTGAGGCATCTGTTATAGTTTCGTGCTCGATGGCAGGCTCCCCTGCAACTTCAGGCCCAGTTTTCCTTTTCTTGGACAACAATGCTTCATGTTCTTCTTTGCGCTTTGATATAAACGTTCTCAAAACAGCAATAGACATGTCTCTGTTATTAACCTGGCACGGCATTTCAAAAGTAAAAGTAAAATGAAAAAATAAAAATAAAATCCTCATAGCACCAAGAACAACAGCACCTCTTACAAGTGAAAACAGCTAATTCTTAAGTTAGCAACACAATAGATGAGGAAAATAACAAGGCACGATCTTTAAGCAAGCACCTGGGTTTTGTTATAAAAGACTTCATTTTTCACGTGCATTAAAATCTCTGCCTCCCCTTCTTTGATTATGGTGAAATCATTGAGATCAAAAGGCGCCGCTTCAGGGGCGCTCGCATGGTGTTGCTCTTCCTCCCCGATTTTTCTATCGGAGCCGGCCATATATTCAGCAGAAGGCAGCTTAGTCGGGCTCCTGTCCGGCGGCGTGCGGCGGCGAAAAAAACGGGGATTTGTGGAGAGAGTTCAATTTGCTGCGAGGTTAAATCAAAAATGGAAAAACTTCGAAAGGGGCAAAATTTATATAAAATAACAAAAATAAAGAAAAAAATAGAAAGATGGGCGTTGTATATGTGAAACTGTAACTGCAACTTGCAAAAACCCTAACTCCTGCAGGTCGTGGGTGGCAGGGTGGGTGATGAGCCCCAAAAATTTAATTATTGATTCTTCTTATTTTCATTTAATTTTGTTTTTATTATTTCTTTGCTAGTATAACTTTTCTTTACTTTGTTCAATGCAATTTCACCAAAATTAATTTTGCAGATTTAAAACTAAAGTTATTACGAACAATTTTCTCTCTCCTAATTCCCCCAAATTCCTTTGCTCTTGACCTAGCCGCTTTTCTTTATCGGTATGCCTCCTCTCCAGCAGCCCTAGCCCTCTAATTCCGGCGATCTTCCGGCTCGATCTAGGCTCGGTGGGGCGGCAGCGGTGGTCCTGTTCCTTCTCCGTTTCCGTAGTGGTCTCCGCTCGTGTATGAGCGCCAAAGCGGGTGAGGAAAGGCGGACTTTGTCGGCGGTCGTGTTCCGGCGGTGGCTGCGGGCAACCTTTCGGTAAGTCTGCGGCGATGGCCTTTCCTTGGTCTTCCCCTATTCCGGTCGTCCCTTGTGTTGAGACGATGCGGTCCTCCGGCGGCGGCGGCGTGGTTGCGCGGTGGCTCCGGTGTATGCGTGGGGGAGGCTGTGGTGTGGTCGGCCTGGGTGAGTATTCGAAGATCTGGGAGCTTCCGACTGTGATGTCCGGGTTGCTTCCTCGATTTTCAGAGTCGGATTTTCGCTTGGTTTGGTAGGCGATGGGTCTTTCCGGCTGGTGGGGAGGACTTTAATTTTAGTTAGTTTTCTGTGTGTTTTGTTAGTTTCGTATTTTTTGTGTTTTTATAGTGTAATGGTTTTTAGGTTTTGTATGTTCTATCTCCCATTGGGGAGTTTGTTTCTCCCGCAGGGGAGTCTTTTTCTCCCGTAGGGGAGTTCCTTCTCCTTTTGTGGAGTTTGTTGGTGTGATTGTTATCGTATTGGTTTTAGGCGATCCTCTGGATATGTCCTCTCACTAGATTCGGCTTGTGGGCTGTTCTTTCGGCTTTTGAGCCGTGTCTGGATGTACGTTTCTGGTTATCAATGAAATTTCTATCGCTTGTGAGATGTCCCACATTGATTTGATAGGGTAAATGAGTCTAGTTTATAAGCCTAGTGGGCTGCTCTTCCTATCACCAATTGGTTTTGAAATGAAACCTCACTTGGGATTCATTTGGGCTAACCCTCTTATGGCGCGATTCACCTGTGTGAGACCGCACTCGTTTTGTCCCCGTTTTGACATGGTATCAGAGCGGGCCTAATTTATAAGCATATTGAGTTACTCCTCCTATCACCAATTGGTTTTGGGATGGAATCTCACTTAGGCTTCATAACCTCACTTAGGCTTCATTTGGGCTAACTGATTTTGGGATGGAACCTCACTTAGGCTTCATTTGGGCTAACTGATTTTGGGATGGAACCTCACTTAGGCTTCATTTGGGCTAACTCTCTTATGGTGCGCTATGGAACCTCACTTAGGCTTCATTTGGGATGGAACCTCATTTAGGCTTCATTTGGGCTAACTCTCTTATGGTGCACTATGGAATCTCACTTAGGCTTCATTTGGGCTAACTCTCTTATGGTGCGCTTTACCTGTGAGGGACCGCACTCATTTTGCCCCCGTTTTGATAAATTCTCTAAGTCATGGTTTATGTACAACCAAACAATATAGAGATTAGATTATTTTATATTTTTTACCAACATACTATTAAAATGAGTAGTGGGGTGTATTCAATTTCAACTTTTAGAGACTTTTTAAGACTTTCAGAATTCTGGTGTATTCAATCAGAACTTTTAGAGACTTCTAAAAAGTTTACATGTATTCAAAATCGAGACTTTTAAAAAGTCCTTAAAAGTCTCAGGGTATTCAATTAAAACTTTCTGAGAGTCTTTATAAGTCACCTTGTATTCAAAATATGAAGACTTTGTGAGACTTTAAATTGTGAGACTTTTAGAGACTTTTCTAACAAAATTACAAAGAGAAAGTCCCAACAAAAATCTCATCAATATTGGTGAGATTTTGCTAGACTTATGTGACTCTCTTCACGCTTTCTTTCTTTTTTCTTTCTAACATGACTTTGTATCCCATATCACTTTCATGCTTTATTATTTTACTCTTTTATTTTGATACCTTGTATAATTTTCATTTCATTACGTATATTTAACGTAATCTTTGTTTTATATATTTTTTTTATTATGGTTATTTTATGTATGTATACCTTTAATCTTTCATTTTGTTATCTTGTGAATTTGAGTTTTCAAAGGTTAAATGCTTCCATAGTTTGCAGTTGCAAATAATTTATTTGTCCTCTCTTTTTATTTATCAATGTTTATTTTTTAATATTAATAAAATTATTTTATTTTTTAATAGTTTATTTGTTGATATTGAATTATTTTGAATATTATTGATAACTTTATAAAATACAAATACTGTTTTTCGACAATGTTTGTATCTTCCATAGTTCGACTCATTGAAGCTCGGATTGATTTGATCATTTAATAAATCTAAAATCCTAAATAATATGTTACTGAATAACTCATTTCGCATAACAATGAGTTGATTCATAAATTTTTAGAGGATTAATATATAAAATATTTTATTTATTTATTCTTCTTGATATTAGTTATTATGTTACGTTTATTAATTTTTCATTCTAACATAATATTATAACTACAAGTATAAAAAGTGTCTCAATAAGTCTTAAAAAGTCACTAATGAGAATTCTCTGAAAGTCTCAACAAGTCCGCCAAAGTCATGAAAGTTTTACAAAGTCCACAAAAGTCACCAAATTTAAAAAGTTTTAAAAAGTCCTTAGTTTTAAAAAGTCCTTAAGAATCTGAATTGAATACAAGCCCCTTAATTTTAGGAAAAAACGATAACAAAAATGATGGTCCACCACTGTGAATATATTAAGTTATTAACTCACGTCCATTGTGGCAGAAAAATGAGACTGTACTATTTCGATGGCCCATAAATTGTCTATTATTAGAAAAATGCAATTTTTGTTTTTTAAAAAAGGCTATTTTGTTTTTTTTAAAAAAGGTTTTGAAAAATCCTTGGCAAGTATCTATGGAGTGTGTTTGATAAGTATCATATTCTAGTTTATAAGCTTTCTGTATTATAATAAATTTGTTTAGTAGAGCACCCACAATGTATTGTGTCTAATTTTACATATGTGGTATATAAATAGACTTAAGTCCTAAATGACATTGACAAACCTAAGTAAAAAAACTCAAAAGTTATTCAATGCAAAAATAAAATACTAGGTCTAGCATACATGTCAACCAATAAAAATACTCTAATATGTTTCCTTTATTAAAAGAAAAATTAAATTAGGAATAAATGGTGAGTGTTTGGGTTTGTACTTTGTCCAAAATAGACTTAAGTGTGGACTTGGTCTCTTTTTTTTATTGCCACATAAGCTAAACCATGTCTACTTTTAATTACATTGGGAGACATTTTTTTATAGACTATGTCTATTTCCTACGTGACATATGATATTTTATTAAGAAACCCAATGCAATGTGGGTGCTCGTAGGACCAACTTTTTTCAAAAGCTCGAGTTTATCTCATAAGTTTATTTGAATAGCTTTTCAAATAAGACCGTTGAAAAATTTATTTCCGCAACTAATTTATCAAATACCTTTATCATGTAATTTCATTTTTCAATCATAAACTTTTCAACTATAAATTCGAAATTCACTTATCAATTATCAATTGACTTTTCAACTAGTTTATCAACTATGGTGAGGCAACGGAATCTGATTCCGTGTCCATTTTTATATTTTATTTCGTGTTTCATTATAATAAAACACAAAATAAAATACAATATTGGAAATATAAAATGTGGGGGATGGGAGTTGAAACTTGAAAAGTTGCTGAGCACATATGGGCCTAGATAAAAACATTCCCATTTGTGCCGTATGGCTAATTTTCTTGAACCAGTCCAGCCCACAAACGTTAAACATTACTGAGCTTACTCCAGTTTTTCATCTGACAAACGATCAGGCCTAGTGTTGATCTTCCTGAATTGGAGGCCCACTTAGTCAAGATGACTAAGATTTTGTCCGAAAACGATGACTAAAAAATATTAAATAAAAAAGCACCAAAATTTGGCCCATGCAGGTCTCGAACCTGCGACCTTCGCGTTATTAGCACGACGCTCTAACCAGCTGAGCTAATAGGCCGATATATCATGAATCTAAAATGTTCTACATTTCTTCAGTAATATTTCAATTGCTATGAGAAGGTTTGAATACAAATCTATCATTATATTAAAAGATTAACCATTTAACACTTTTAGCAAGTTTTTCCCGCCAAATGCATTTAATGTCTCCTAAAAATAGAACAGCATTAAATGTTGCCCTTAAATCATGGCAGTTGTTAATTTAGTTTGGAGAAAATCGTGGTAATTAAAACAAACAACATTAATTACGACTGATTTATTATTTAAATGGTAAACAAATATTACTTTTTTATAACTGATTTAAATTTACGTCTGTTTAAAATAAAAAACTATTTTTGAAATTTCAACAAATTTGTACTTTTTAATGTACGGCTGATTTAAAATTAAGAATTTACTTTTGTATTTTCACAAAAAATCGTATAAAGAAGTATGGTTGGAATAATAATAAAAAATTAATTTGTTAAACCATATTTTGCACTCATAGATACGAATTCTCATCAAATTCAAGATTTAAAATTTTGAAGAATGTATATATATGTGGACTGATTGAAGATATATGATTCCTTAAATTAAAGAATTTTTTTCGGTAAAAAAAAATATAAACTTTAAATATAGATTTTATTAGTAGTGTATACCAAAGAATATTGTTACATTTAAAATTCCTATGAAGAAGAATTCTATTAATTTTCAAATTCAACGTCTCATAAAAATAATATAATACACATTTACATTCTATGAAACAATATTTAAAACCCACCGTTCAACATGCATAAAATGTAAAATTACCTAACATGAATAATTTTAACTTTCTAAAATCAGTACACAATTTGCTCGGTATGTACTAATAGTCTAATAGTTAAGAGTTAATAT